ATTAATTCTTTGTTCATTTGCGCACAATCGGCCGCCTTCATCTTTTCCTTTTCCAACGAACGTTCCACTTCATCGAGGCGTCGTGTGAGAAGTTCTCGACATTCCTCGTGCGATCGTCCGTCTTCCGAGTTCTCGACGATTCGAGTCACTTCGGAATACGCCTCCGCTACTTTGTTATTGGAAAAGTTGAGTTGTCTTTTGATCTCGTCCATCTCCATTTTCGTTTTCGTCAAGTAGGATCTCAATGTTCTTCGAAAACACCGATTCTTCGAGGTGGACAACCTTTTTCATCGATTCGTCGTACAAATTCGACAGACTTTTTTCCGATTCCGATAGCCTCTTTTCCATTTCGGTGTTCTCTTTCACCAGTCTATCTTATACACATCTAGATGTGTATAAGTTCTTTACTTAGTTCCGAAATCATTCTTTCGTTGGATTCACCCGACTTCTCCCTCTTAACGTCGCTCAGAAGTCGTTCGAGTTGTCGGATCTCCTGTCGATGTCTTTCCAGCTCCCGCTTCAACGAATTCGTTTCTTTCGAATCCGTTGCATTCTTGTCCACGTTCGAAAGTTGGGACTCAAGATTTGCGCGTTCTCTCTCGGATGTATTCAGCAGGTCGCGAAGCTTGTCGAGATCTGCCGAACGTCGTTCGGCCGTCGCTTGCCACGACCTCTTCTCGGCTTGACACCTATCAAGGTCCTCCTTCGACCGACGTTCGGAATCGGTCGCGAGCTTCAGTTTCTCCGAGAGGGACGCGCACTCGTCAAGAGCCTCTTCCGCTTCGGCCGATCGCGAAATCTTATCGGATTGCAGTTTAGCTATCCGATCGAGATAATTCTCTTCCCGTTCCTTTAGGGCCGCATGCAACTTACCAGTGTCTCTTCTCAGTTTTGATTCCTTTTCTTTAAGGAAAGATATCTGCGTTCGAAGATTTTCAATCTCGTCCGAGTGGCTCGCCTTTGCCGTTGCAAGTTTCGTTTCAGCGTCCGATTTCTCCCTCTCGAGATCGTCTCGAAGCGATCCGAGTTCCTTGGCGTGGGATTCGTGAGATTCGTCTCGTGCCTTCTTCAATT